TAGCTTACATTGACCGGCCGATCTTCGACTGAGGAATATTGCTTCCGAATACCCTTACTTAATCGAAATTGCCTATCATCAAATGTGAACAGCACATCATTTAGCATGGAAATGTCCCCGAAATACTTTCGCGTTTGTCGAATCCCACGCGATGTTTGACGCCACTACGACGCTATGACCTTTGTTTGTCCTGTTTTTACGTTCGATTTCACACATAACGCGTGATTCTCGCAGTGAACGGAAAATGGTCTATATACACAATATAATACGATACGATTACAAAAAAACTACACAAGTATAATAACAATATAACATGACAACACGTACCATTACCCAGCTGATACGCTAATCCATTGTCGAGAGAAGATGTTTTAAGTGAGCAATTGGATAACAATACATTGCTAAATGTATTTAAACCCAAATATTTAAACTCACCAGATTGCTGAAGCTTTGGTTCAAATTGATTCCAGAATGCACATTCTCTTGCTTTCAATGCGTTACTATTCTCCATTGATAATGAGAGTTGTTTATACGCTAAACCAGGCACTGTAAACAATGGCCAGTCATCGTTGTTATCTTCATCACTTGCAGAACTACGATTAGGATTACTGGAAAATGAAAATGCATTTCAAAAATGTTACTGACGAACGTTTAGCTTTAGTAACCAACAAGCACCATAGCCAATTGACATGCGAGTTACCTCATATCGATAACCAATGTCACATGTTGTTTGGTTAAGTCATCATTTTAGGCAGTATCATAAATTACATGTATATATCACAAAATCATAATATATAATATATAATATAATAATAATTATATTTATATCATGGACGAGTGAAATAGCAAATTCATGACCCTGTGTTATTTGAATTGTGTCATTAAATTTTGTTTTAAAGCAGGGGTGTCGTCACCTGCGCATGTCTCAGATGGCCATAGCGTGTCATCATTGTTTACAAACAAGCGTCTACCCATGAGCCTTTACGTTTTTAGTGTGTGTTGTTATCGTCGCTTGGGACTCAATTCCCGCGCGTGCGCAGGTGACGACCCTCCCGCTTTAATTAAATTGTTTACACTCTAAATACGCCGTTGAAGAACAGCATAATAACGTCAAATATAGTTTTTGGAGATGACGACTGTCCAAAATATTATTTTTTGGCAGATACAATAAACTTGTAGTTAAGTACAATAAATAGGTATATAATAAAATAATCTGAGATGGCAATAATTTATTTTATCACATTTAGACAAATTATATTGATGCTATTTGAGATTATTATTAGATTTATACAGAAACCATTTGATGGTGAAAACACAATGCGAGCCTGAGTGCTACAGGTGGAGTAGGTGTGATCCATGTTTTCAAAATCACTCTACGTATACCATCGAGTCCATATTTCTTTCTTTTACTGACTTGACTACTGTAAAATACTTTACTTTCGCTTGGAATTAATTTTCGCTATTTTCGCTGAAGGGATGAATTTTATTTTTTTCCTATATTTCACATTCAACTCATCAAAAATCAGTGAAAATAAATTCCATACAAAACACCCAAAAGGCCTTTTCAGCGAAAAATAAATTCCAGCTTATATACAATATTTTACAGTGTGTAGTGTAGTTTGTTAGGATAATCGTTGCCAGTCATTTGTTTTGTGTTCTTGTAAATTTTAATGTACGACTATTGTTTAAAATATGTGGGTAGTTTTCAAAACTGTCGCTGCTAGCGATTTGTATTTCACTGAACATACACTCACCCAGTTTTGGCGAAATTTGTCCAGTACTTCATGATTTGTAAGGATACATTCACATCAACTTCATTCGGTATCCACTTAATTAGGGTCGTCTCATCTCCACCAAGTACCAACTGATTCTCTGTAAGAAGAGGATAACCAAAAACAAAACCGACGTCATCTGCATGCTGTACCGTGTCGAATTTAATCGGTCGTATTGACTGTACAGGAACATGAGTCATATGGTACATATATGTAGAATGTCCCGTTTCATGATGAGCACGTGCAACGACGTCAGCAAGACAAACGAACATCATATCCCCTACCATCTGACTCAACGCTGACAGGTAGTTGGCATCCTGCTCATCGGCGTGGTCCCAGTCTACGTAAATTAGTTTAATTACGTCTAAGACAGCTTGGTTTTTATCTGGCACGAATGTGGGGTACATCGTCTGATAAATTGTCTCGTTAACTGAATATTCAAGCAAAAACAAAAACTCCATCCCTTCATCGGCCACGGTACCAATCATTAATTCTTCGCCATTATATGCCTTCTCTCTAGTTGCATCTATAGGATCGTCATTCACAAATTTACCATCCATATTAGGCGGGAATGGTACCATTATATCAGCAATGGTGGTAGGATTCTCAATAATGCCCTTGATAAATGAAACAAATGTTTATAATACGTTTCTCGTTAATTCTTTGTAAAAAGTGCTCGAAATAAACTATTCGGGCAATATGTACCCAACCTGATCATATTCAAAAAGTCCATTAATGCTTCCACCCTTTTTTGAGTACGTGTACAGCCCAGCTGTGGAGATTTTTTTTCAGTTGAAAAAAATGGAAAAAAATAGTTTTGCAAA